TGGCGAAGTGCAAGCACAACAGAAGTTTTGTTCACTGTACTTAGCAGCAAGGTACCTTTTGTTATTACCTTTGGAGTGATTAAAATTGATAGTAATAACCTTGTGAAAGTAAGTGCTACAGCAATTAGTGTAATTCTGCTGGAATGTCATTTAAAATGCAGAAATTTCTGGAGCAGTAGATGAACGTGAAGCAGGGACTTCTGTGCTGAGCTTTCAGAATTGCCTGATGAAGTGAGCAGTTTAACCCAGCTTTGTTTTAATGTGGATAAACACATCAGCCACACATTAAAGAGGAAAAGAAACAGACCCTTCCTGCAGAATGAAGCATTAGTATTCAAGGAGAAAATGCTCACATCTTAAAGAGGATGCTTGAACAATGAGGAAGGTGTCTGGACAAGACGTACAAAAACAGTTCCAGGACCAAAGAGACATTGTGGAAAAAGTGGAGCTCAGTGCTTCATTTGCTGAAACCAAAGGTAAAAGTTACTCCATGTATGTTAAATTCACAGATGGGAAAAATGCAAGATCTCTTGATTCTTTTTTTTTCCATTAAGAAAGGCAAAGCAGGAATTTGTTTGAAAACTGAGTTTGCTTTAAATTGGAGAGAAAAGTCCAATTTAACAATGAATTTCTGGAATGGCATTTGAAATTGATGAGTTGTTCATTTCTTGATACGTGTTCATCAAGGCAGAATTGTCTTTTTAGGTTGCCATGCTTCAGCCAGAACAACAGCAGAGCACCTGAGGGAATTAAAGTGCTGCATGTTGTATAAGGATGGATCCCTCTTGCTTCCAGCCTGATCTTTAGAAACTGTGGAAACGTGCAGTGGGCTGATGTCACTAGCTTGTAATTGAGTGTTGCTGTATTCTCTTTTCTCGAGGACTGATTTTAGTGTCTGCAGCTGAAGGAAGGAAAACTTTTACATGTTAATGTGTTTGAGACGTGGGTGTAAGAGGAATCCACTTCAGCCGTGCTGGGTGGGGTCTGAATTCTGCAGATTTCCACTGGCTTTCATTAGGCTTGGCAAAAAGGTGAAACCTGTTCTGCACACCTAACTGGGGTTTTTCCCCAAGGTGAATGATGTTCCATTAAAAAAGGGGAAAAGCAGGCAGACAGTGGCTGCCATTAGCGTGCTGCTGTGCACTAAAGAGTTTTGTTCTCTCTGGCTGTGTAGTGCGATCCAGCTCAGAGTGAGGATGTGTGAGGTGTCTGCTGCTGTGGGACAGCAGAAGTAGAAACTTCCTCACTTTTGACTTGAGTGTGAGGCAGGGTTTGGCTTTTTACAGTCTGCCAGTCTCATTTCTATGGCATGTTATTGCAGTGGGTGACAGGCGTGAGAAGGAATGGTCATACGTCTCAAAAGGCAATTAACAGTCGTTAATAGTGTTCTTTTTCTGAATGACAAACTGCTAATTTACAGCTAGCATGAGAAGCTTGTTGTAGCTGTGCAGTGTCTCTAATCAAGTTCCTTACTAAATATATATATATATATATATCAGATTGTATGTGTGTATATATATATATATATATATATATATGTATAGCAGATTGCTTGCTGAGATCCATGTCAATAGTGCAGTGTGGGAGGAGATGTGTTTTCATTTACCTTAAAATGTATCTTGAAAATAAAATGTGCTGGAAAAGTGGTGGAAGATGAAGCACCCCTATGTTAGCTATTGTGGCTATTATAAAAGCCAGCAAATTCAGTGTGGGCTGCTGAGTTTGCAAGGCAGACTGTTGTCAGCTGCAGGATGGTTAAGCAGTTAAACAGTATTGATTATTTCACTCAAATACCAATATATATGTTTGTTTTTTTTTATTACTGACACCATTTTTGCTACTGGTTTTCTATTAACAGTGGTGGCATTTCATTGCAGAGAGAATCCATTTTGAGAAGTTTCTTCTTTTTCCAGCTGCATGTCAAATCTGTGATAGAAGGGGGTTGGAATCTGGATGATAGATATTAAGAAGATGTAGCCCATCACCATCCATTAGCAGTTGCATGTACAGAGGAAAACTAGTAAAGTTAATTATGTCCACTCAAAATCTTGATTGTGCGAGTTCCTTAGATCTTTTAAAGGGGAGAAATTGCAGGGTTGGTGGGCTGTCTTTCCAAGCTTGCTTGGGTCACTGGTCCCACAGGGCACAGTGCTGTCCCAAAACACTTGCTGGTTCCCTTTTGGAGTAACACAATGTTTCCAGCTCAGATTGAGGGCCACTGCAATGTTCAAGGCAAAAAAATACTTATAGTTCTAAACCTATGATTAAAGACTGATTCCTAGGATAAGATGGAGGTTATATTCAGAGAGTTAAACTGTGAAGCAGAATAAATGGGGAAGATGCTTGGAGGGTAGAAATCATCATGTAATTAGCAAAAGAAATGCCTAATATACTGCTTCTGTGACAGTCATTTTTTACTTCTTCATTTTTGTATTATCATTGTCAACATGCTTCTTTAACCAGAGGAATTTTTAGATGTATCTGCATGTTAAGGTGAAACAAAAGGCCAAAGAATAATCTGCATGATCAAAACACTGAAAAGAGACACATTACAGCGTATAGAATTCTAAATGAGGACTTGAAAGAACATTTGCGAAGATGAAACGTATCTTGATTTTGAGGCTTTACCTGGTAATTTTATTTTAAAATTACATGACATCTAAGGTTGACATTAAAGATAAGCCTGGAGTCAGCGCTGGTGGGAAATTGTGACATCCAATTTATTTTTCACTGAATGGTGTGCCGTTGAGTTTTGTGTTGTGTGGTTTTTTCTTTTTTTTTAATCAAACTTTTCTGCAGATATAAAAGAGAAGTTTTTTTGTTTTTTTTTTTTAAATGGAGAAAACAAATGCTTTTGACTGAGGAAAAACTCTGTACGTGTCCTGTGACTAATCGGGTGATGTAAACCTGTGATAATGTTTATCTACTGCTGTGACGTGAGTTGCACCTGGGCTCTGATACCTGCTGTCTTTTCCTTGCCCCTCCTCAGAGGCAGAAAGTGGCACGCTTTGCCAACTGTAATCCAAAAAGATCCTGGCTTATGTGGAAAATAAGGATGTGATGCATATATTGCCAGGGCTTTCTTGAAACATTGTGGCAGCATTTCCAAATGGAAGACTTCAGACTTCTTGATTCAAAGGATTTGTGTTTTGACTTTCAATCAATAAAACTCTAATTTGGATTGCGTACAAGCTCTCATTATGTACAAAAGCATTGCTAACAAAGATTCATTCCAAAGTATAAAAGCCAAAAGCATCGTATATGTGATCCAGATACAAGTAACTGCCCCCAGAAGGTATCCACCATGGCAGTACAGGTTTACGTGTGCCTTGGAAGCTCACAGAAAACACAGAGAGCAACAGGAATTGGAGCAGCATACTATCAGGGCATTAGTTAGGGCTCTGTAGGCACGCACACCTGAAAATCCAGTTTAACAGCAACATGTGCTGGCTAAACACAGAATCAAATAAGTCTGGGCAGGCACTGGGGAACCTTCAAGGAAACAAGTATTCAGGGCCTGCAGTGCATTGCTGAGGCATTAGGGGGTGTGAGCTGTCACGTTCCTGTCCTTAATGACTTAGCTGTCCCAGTGAAGAAGTCATGCTTCCGTATCAGATTCTCTTTGTGTTGTTTTGATTGCCCTGCTTGGGTTGTGTGAGAGAGGAGCTGTCTGTGGTTTGTGCTGTGTCCACGCGAGGAGTTGTGTAACACTGAGTGAGGTTTGCTAAGAGCTGTTGCAATAAAAGCAAAGTTGCATTTTTGATAAAATGCATGCCCTAAAACTCCAGTAGAATTTTCAGGAGAACAATATGTTTAATGTGTCTGTTGGATGAATTGTATGGAGTACAGAGTCATTCACATACTGGGAGCGTATCTCTGAAAATTGGCACTTTAGAGTCATAATCATATGTCTGTATTATGTGGATCATCATAGCAAGTTGTTCTCTTTCTGTCTGTGTTTTGGGTAGCTCCTAGTCTTGCCTAAATGTTAGAGATGCTGTGTATTTGTTAGCATTCAGTTATGTTACGTTCTGCTAAGAATATGGGATCCCTGCATTTTCTGCCTGCTGGTGTAAATTTGTTTCTAACTGTATGACTTTGTAAATACAGACTGTATCAACCCTTTAAATTGTACACATTTACTCTTGGTGTTTCCCAGTATTCTGGAGGCTCAGCTCCACAGTTGACAGTTTTATTTCTGTTTATTGATGCTGGAAACACCTCGGCAGCAGCAGTAAACTATTGGCAAACGGAATTGCAGCACTGACATGAAGTGATTTCTAATCTGAGTCTTAATCTAATCTTAATCTAATCTTCACTTACGAATTGTGGTATGAGGAGAAGAAAAACATATTCAAGGAATCAGTTGGTTGTGGCTTTTTTCTAATGTTCTATATTTACAACCTCTGTAATTTGAACGGACTGCAGCAAAAACTTGGCCTAATTGCAAAGACTGCAAAAGATACTTTCTTTTTCCCTCCTCTTCCACTGAATAAATAGATATTTCTTCAGAATGAAAAGTGTATTTGCTTTATCAGAGAAAACAGCAACAGTGCTATATCTGTATCGTTAAGTGGCTGGAAGAGAACGTACAAATGTACTTTGTTTCTCTGGATCTACCTAGATTTTACACATTGAGGGATATTCCCTGATGCTTCTAATTGCAAAGCAAATGTTGAACAATTTGAATGATATGTCTGTTGTAAGTTTTCACTTCCTGGAATGTCTGTAAGATTTTTAGGTACGTTCCTGAATGGTATTATGCCAGGAATAAGCCTTTAATTCTAGTGCATCACTATGGAAAATAACACAGAATTTTGTTACATATCTGTAGTTTGTATCAGCACCAATGTTTATAATTTGAAGGAATATGCATGAATTAACGAGTCTACATACAAATGTATATATTTAGACACATTTTTGTCTTTTTTTTTTTTTTAATTATTTACCTTTAGTATTGCTGACTTAACCTGTAAAATAATTTTGTTTTTTCATTTTAGGTCTTAGAGTGACTGTATTACTAACATCATCACTCATGGTTTTGGGAGCTGGCCTAAGATGTGTTCCAGTTTCAGACCTGGAACTAAGGAAGAAGTAAGTGAATTATTTATTTTTAATATGCATGTTTTATACTCCTTGTTAATGTGATTTTTGCTGCTGCTACAAAGAAACGTTAGCACAGATTTTCTGTGTGAAGCCGATACGCAGAGTGTGTGTTGTGTGCTTGTGGGCTTACACGTTTTGTGCCTTCTTATCCTGATTTTTTGTAGTCCTTGTTCTGCGTGATGTGTGAAGATCAGAAAGGTCTTTACAAACACGAGTTAATTAAGCCTCACCCACACCATCCTGCATAACTAAATTTGTTTTGCAAATGAGAAAGCAGAGATTTAGAGAGAAGTTCGGAAACTGGCCCAAGATCACACAGGGAATCACGCCACAAAATCCAAAACTATGTAATTTATATGCAAATAATAAATAATTAGTTCATGTTTCTCCTACTGGGTTATGAGATTGTTCAGTGATACAGATGAATTTATCCAAAACGGCCTGTTCATACAGTCTATTCCAGACTGCATTCCAGAGTAACCTTGTACTTTCTTTGAGGCTGGAGCAAATACAAGCATAGTATACAAGGAGTTTAAAATTTGGTTTCCAATAGAGACAGCTTCATTCCAAACAAGTCAGTTGTCCTGCCAACATACCAAACCTGGGAATCTATGGTAAGTATAGGAGTCTCATCCTTTCTGTGCAGTGATGGAATGTGGATTGCTTGTTGCTCATGTAGCGTGAGAAGCCAAAAAAAAAAAAAAGTAAGAGGAAGAGGGAATAAAGGCATTGTCATATTTTTCTTCTTCTTTAAAAATAAAAGTTCACTTGTTATGCTGGCATAATATGCAAGTGCTATGGGGAAAATAGCAACAACATCAAACCTTTGGAAGTATTTTTATGTGGGTTGACTTTTGTTTTTTGTTTTTTGAGGAAGGATATGATCTATGCATCTTTCTCTGTAGAAAACAGATCATCAGATTCATGCTAGTTTCTCTACATTTTCAGTAGTGGTAGCAACAAGACCATTGGTTTTTCTGAAGGATTTTGAATTCTTAAGACATAACCACCATGACGGAGGTTATAATTTACTTGTACCTAGAATTTGTGTGTGATATTTTGTCACCTTTGTATTATTCGTTATTGCATTTTTTTTTCTTAGTGTTGCTTTACACTGAACATCAACTTGGAAGGCGAGAAAAGAAGTACTTGGTGTGATGTAGATAGCAGGTGCCTGGATACCATCAGTAAAACAAAGAAAGAGGTTCAGAGCACTAAGAAAGTGATAAAAGCATTTGTTGTAAAACTAGTTCCGGTCAGCAGTAGCTAACTAGTATGTAACAGTTAATCATATTGTGATACTGTTCACAATGACCCTTTAGTAAAAAGGTGAAAATGTACTGTTATGGTGGGCAGGAAGAGCTGTTCTCATAGGGCTCTTATTTTGCCTGTCCTTGAGATGCTAATGCATGCTGAACATCAAGTTCATCAGATCTGAACAATCTCCTATTATGTATATTTCAAATGGGCCAGGTAGGTTAAATGCAGTGAAATACAATGTCTTCTGTAGCTTTTCATTTATCAGTTATGCTGAAAGACTTGTGCTGCCTAGCCTTTAGCAAAGCAAAGATAAAAACTGTAAGAATTCAAAAAGAAATTGCCAAACAATGTATAGATAAGAGACATCACTTTGGGAATGAGAGTTTCTACATGCCTTTAAATCTTTAAACAAAGTTTTCCATTGTAATTGCTGTGAGAAGATGTGGAAGAAGGGTAAAATAAATGTTTAAGGAGAAACATTCAAGAACAGCTGCTTTAACTGGGGAAAAAAATCCTGTGCACCGTGTAGAGTCTGATGAGATGTATAAAATATGATGGTACATTTTACTGTGAACCATTAAAAGAAAAAAAAAAAAAGAGAAGAATCCTGTTGGAAAAGGGTACTTATTTCATTTATTCATGCTGTGAAAATATGCATCATTTGAAGCTGAAATTGTTAAAATCGCTAACTTAGCCTACTGTCAAAAAATGGAGACGTTTGTAAGAATTGTAGCTCCTCCTGAGGAAATAGTTTGAACTCTTACACAGATTTATAAAAATCTCCAGAGAATTAATTATTACTTACTGTGTGGAACAAATGTGTGGTTTTTCTTTATTTCTTGAGACATTGTAAATAACTGTGCACACTGTGCGATAGTTGCATTGTTTTGAAGGCTAAAACTGGCCAATTTTCATTAAATACTAACAAATAAAATAATATTTTAGAGAAAACCATTATTGCTGTATGCTTTAACGAAGATTGGCTTTTATTTGTAAGGTGCATATACTTGAATATGACCTTTTGAACGTTAATCAACTAGTCAGACGGACAGGATCCCACAGAAGCTCATGTCTGAGAATCTCAAAAGCCAGCACAACTGAAATTCATTTAAATGCTTTTGCATGTTTTGTGATGTTTTCCTTCAGTCCCTGGGTAATCTGAAGTAATATAGAGAAGGATTTTCCTGGGACAATTATGTCAGTTAAGATGCATAAAATTACAAGGAAGTTCATGAAGTTTGTCAGTTTTATTTAATTGTTTTTCTGCTATGTGGCTGTCTCTGCTCCCTGCATTCTTGTAATTTAACATTAAGGAGAGTTACTAAAGCCCACTGCTTATCAGAGCAATCACAGAAGCGAGGAAATCACAGTTAAGGCTGACATTTAATCCTCACCGCTTTGTGCTCCTTATCTCATGCAGAGCTGTAATATCTAAATGTGTTCTTAGGCTTCTTTCTAGTCTGTAATTATTCTTTTGGCTCTTGCGTGTAGGAGCTAAGACTATCTCCAGCAATCAGAGTCATGTCTTAAAAGCAAACCTTCATTTGACTTCCATATATAAGTGTGCGACTTGCGTAAGGGAGAATTTAGGTTGAACATTTGAGTGTATCTCTTGAAGCAGCAGTTCCTTATGGTGAGTCCTTGTTCTCTGGGAATCCATCCCAGAACTGCTTACATTCAGGGAAGGCTGAAATGAACGTGTATGGCTAGAAGTGGAAGTTTGAGCCTGTGTCTGAGGTTTAAAAAACCAACCACTTCTTGAACTGGTAAAGTCCCTCTCACATGCATATGATTTGTTTGCTTGGTTTCCTCCCAGTTTGGTAACCTTGCAGGTTAGTGATTGTAACAGTCAGACAAGGAATGATACAGAATTTTTCTCATCTGCTGTGCACATCTGAGCTTGCCAAATTGGTGACATGTATGTGACAGTGAATTTGACTTTTTAAAGATAAAATTAAAAAATGAGGACTCTAAATTCACGGAAGGCCTCATTTTGCCACACCTATTTTTTTCAGTTTATAGTTGACCTAAAATTAACACAACTTGGAAAGAAAATGGATGATGAAACTGGATCAAATTGTAGAATTTATGGATTGCCTTCTTCCCTTCTTAGAAGTTGCTGAGGGCATTGCTAATATGTTTTGCCTACATCTTTCGGTCCATTCCTTTCCTTTCTGAGTACTTCTTGGCACTAAATGAATGTTTTCATTGAACTCTCGTAATTTGGTACTTTATCTCAAGTAGTTAATAGGAAGCCATTTTTAATAGACAACATTGTTCCCCCCACGTAACACTGAATATTTATTACACATTCTGTATTTTAGAATAGTTTTACACAGCAATCTAGGACTTCCATATGATTGTAGAGCAATAAACCTAGGTAAAAGGCTGTAAGATCTACCTGTGAGCTGGAAGAAGGTAATAAACGATGAAATCAGTCCATAGCCCCATAAACTGTTGACTCTTGAGACACTCCATGTAAGATGTCTTAAAATGTTATGAAAGACAGGATAATTAAAGACATGGACATAAAGGATGACATAATTTGTCATTTGTATTGAATATATTAATTAAGAAATTTATCAGAACTTAGTATGCTGCAGATTAGTAACCTTCACATTAGATTTCACAATACAGAAGTATTTGTCAAAGACCTTGAGTCAAAGCACTGTGAGGGTGCTCTTTGGTAATAAGTTTTGTTAAAACATTTATTGCAAAACCAGCAGAGCAATAATACAGAGAATGACAATGGAAATGGGAGCAGTATGAACTGGCAGTTTTGTTATTTATAAATTCTGTTCCAAAGAGATTACTAGTAATTGGGAGCTCACGTAAAGAGTCTTAAATAATGCTGCTACTTAAGATTTTAATTTTCTTTTTTTTGTCTGCTTTTTGATGTATCAATTTTTTCCCTTTTTTGTGCTTGCAGATGCTCATTTACCACATCTCTGCATTTTGTTTCTATTAGCTGGTTGCAACATAGTTTATATTAAATATTTTATTTTTCTTAGACATATTCTTTGGGACATACTGGGAGTTGGACTAGATGAGCCTTAAAGTTGCCTTCCAGCATAAGTGATTCTATGATTTGATAATTGCACAGTTTTGCTTTTTCATCCCTGAAAGCCTGAGGAATGACATGGAACCATCTTGGCATTCTGAGGCATGGAAAATGCAAAAGGGGCACCTAAGTTGAGGTAATTCCAATCAGGACAGGACATATTAGGGCTCTCATATTCCTAGCAATACTCTACACTCTTTCTGATTATCTATGCTCAAAGGAATACTCCAAAGTGGAGCAGCTGTGGAGAACAGGGATTAAAATGAAAAGAACCTTTTAGGAGAAGGTATTAAAAGAATCTGCCTATAAAAAGTAAAGACAGAGGATGATGCATGTTGTGTGTGCTGCAAGTCCCTGGAGAAAAGAAATGAAAAAGCTAACTTGAAGCATGGTTCTGGGAGTAAAATGATGAATAAATTGGTGTGCTTCTATGATGTAGATCAGCAAGTGTAAGAAAATGTGAATATAGAGTACTTGAGTGATAGCAGCACAGTGGTTGTGCTTTGGCTGCAATGCTGGGGAAGGACCGAGGCAGATTAATCCATAGTATCAATAAAAGAAGTGGGGGAAAGGAGGACACAAGTCATCATTCACAGGTAGATTATCATGGGGATTATTTAATCTTTAAACACCTCTAACTTCAGAATTTACAAGTCCTCTTCAATAT